AGATAATTTATCTTGAAATAAGAAGAGAATATATTGCGTAAGTTAGGGAGAACAGGAATTAAACAAGAACCTTCGTTGAACCATATAAACATAAGTTCAGTGTCTATCCAAATGAATTTGCTGCTGTTTCTGAATGCTACTTTTATTTTTCCACCATTAAATAAGAAGCCATTCTACAAAAACGGGGGTCAAGGTTTGAAGGGGGAGGGAAAATAAAATAAAAAGGACCGTAAACTACATCCTCCCACATTCCTCTGTAAGAAAGTATTTATAAGATATTAGAACAAATATAGTACACGAGCCACACATGGATGGCATTCCACAGAATACAAAAAAGAAAAAAAAAAAAAGAAAAAAAAAAAAAAAAAAAAAGAAAAAAAAAAGGAAAAAAAATTTAATCCCCAAATCGAAGCCCCCTGCAAACCCCAACTCAGAAATTTTAATTCGACTCGTCCCTTCCGACCCTTTTTTCTGTTTCTACTTTCCTTTCTTCTCCACGATCTTCTCTCCGTACCAATTGTTCCTGTCGTTTTCCATCGCACGTGCGATTTAGGCTGTCACCGACTTTCTCGCCCCTTTCCTCTATTCGATCGTCGTCTTCGTCTTCGAAACGCTGTACTTGCTGCCTCCATCTCAATTCCCGGTGCTCCGATCGCTGTTACTTTTCATTCCACTTTCAATTGCACTCCTTTCAGGTTCGTTTAGGGTTTTATGGTTCTTTTAGGTTTTGAGGGTTTTCAATTTTGAATTCTAGTTAATTACTCTTGATTAACCTAGGGTTACTTATTGTTTGCTGTAATTCTTCAATTAGGATCCCGTTTTGTCTTTTAATTCTCAAATTTGTTTCACTTTGATTGAATCTGAATTTATCTTGCTTCATTTGACCGAAATTCTCCCCCTTTTAAGTCCAATTTTGCAAATTTGCTATTTGGTTAGTTAATAATGCACAATCGAGATTCAATTTGACGAATTTGAGCTTAATTTATTTCAATTCCTGAATTATTGTAATCTATGTAGTGATCCAAGGATACACAGCGTGATGATGGACTTGTGTTTGGGGTGACCACTGAGGAAGCATGAGTGATAGATGGTCTCACTTCCTGGCGAGGGTGTGGATTGAGTTATGCAGTACTTGTTTGTAGTAGTGGTATTGACTAAGGGAAGGCGTAAAAGAAGAAGAAACAAAGTTAAATATGAATGTGCAGGCGCAGATGTCAGGGCAGATATCTGGACAGGTACCTAATCAAGGTGGGCTCTCCCAGCAAAATGGGAATCCGCTCCAGCCTGCACAGATGCAGAGTTTGGGTGTTGGTGGTGGCAGTTTAGGTCATCCACATAATATCTTAAGTATGGATCCTGACCTTCCCCGGACACGGGAACTCATTAAAGGAAGAATGTAAGGGTTTTCTGTCTGCATGATTGTTGTTGCTTTTGTGAACCTTTTTTAATAACTGTTACTGACACTAGCTTTTGGTTAGAGGTTTTATTTTGTTTCTGTTTTCATTACATCAGGTATTTACATCTCCTACTTGATTTAGTCTACATTGCAGTGCAAAGCAGAGTAGAATATCTATTAGATACTTAGTGTTGAAATTGGCAACACTATCACTGAGATTACATAATCAATGAATTCTCTCACCGTTTAATATCTAGGTGCTAAGGCAAGGTTCCAGACAATAAAAGATGTCTCAGCATCTCCTGCCTAGGGAGCTAAGCTAAGGTGGTATGGCAAGTGTCTCACTAAACAATTAGATAAACTCTAGTTGTTTATGATTCCTAAGAATTTGGTTTTAACTTAGAAGGTCATTTTCAACACTTTTTTGGGGTCCAATTATTTTAAGAGTCTTCAAAATTTGAGCACTAGAAAGCTTAGGGTTTAATTAGAATAAAAAAGAAGAAGCTAAAAGTAGAATAAAAAAATACATAAAAATCTTGTTGTCTTGTCTCTGTTACTTTGTTTTTTAATCTTCTTCCTCTCTTCCATTGTTCTTTCTCCTTTTCTCTCTCTGAAACGTAGTTTGTTTCCTCTTTGTGGCAACCAAAGTAGATTATGTTCCTTTGTAAAAGATAGTACACATTGCCTTTGACGACAGGCTTAGTTTTAGAGAAGATTAAAATTTAATGAACTTGTGATTTTGTTTAGGTGCTTTCTGCTAGTTGCTTATTTGTTTAGTTAGCAGCATTCTTGGTATCATTATTTGACTTTTCTAGTTTTATCCCATGGTAAAGAATTCTGTCTTTTTGCTTTCCTTTAATCTTTTATGGTAAGTAACCCACCTAAATTGCTTGGATTGTAAAATCTCTTCCCTACTGAGTTAGTCTCTTTTAGTTAATTAGTGATCTAGGTGCATTTTAAGTCCATAAAATTAATCATAGCTAGCTTGAGCTTGAAAATAAAAAAAAAGTGAAAGAAAAGTTTTTAATATCCCTAAATTTAATTCATGTTTTCATATTGTAGGTTTTTTTATGGTATTGATGACAGGGTTGTTCACTATTTAGTGCAATAATTTTATTAGAATTCAAAGGGTGTTATCTGCTTCAATGGTAATATGTTTAGTTGAGAAGTAGAAGGGCAGGGTTCAGGGTTTGGGGGAAGGGGGGTGTTATCTGCTTTAATGCTACAGATATCAACAGATCTGTCAAAATGTGGATGGTCAGATATTCAGACTATTCACATTGGAAAATTTATTTGCTTCCGTCATTATGAAGTTCACAGCATTACTGATGTTCCACAAAGTGGAACCTTAGAGTTTTCATAGAGATTTAGATTTCGATGCTGTTATACAGGAACCGGATTTCATGTGAAGTTATTTCTATTTGTGTGCTTTTCTTTGTTTTAATGTGCTTAGTTTCCAAATATATAGATTTCTAATGTATGAAATAGATCTATAGGTAATTTGATTGTTCAATATTAGTTAGTGGTCTAGGTTGAGTAACTTATGCTTCATAGCAACATTGGAAACTGACGTGTTAGTTAGAAATTTGTTTTGTTACCTTTTCTAACAATCTGCTAATATTTAGCAGTTGTCATTGATATATTATATATATATATATATATTATGAATATATTTGTCAGATCAATTAAGTAGTGGAAATCTTTATTCTTGAGCCTCTTGTTTTTGGTTCTGTTTTCCTTCCATACATAAAATAGTTTTACTCTTGAACACTAATGCAATCTTTTCTTTCCCCCCTCCTTTTTTTTTTTTCTTTTTTTAGCATTGAGTTTTTAAGACAGCGGCACCAGCAGCCAATTCCTGAGAACAAGTTGCGAGATATTGCAAAACGCTTAGAAGAGGGATTATTTAAGAGTGCTTCTACAAAGGTTGTTTTTTCCTCCCAATAATCTCTATTTTTTACGCAGACCTGTCTCCTACATGTTATAAGATTTGTCTCTCTTCTTAAGTTGAGTAATTGGCTCTTCAAAATTTAATATCCCTTCATGGAAGACTTATGTTTTATCTTCAAGGGGTTTTTGAAACTTTGTTTCTATTTGCAATGATTGTTTTTTATCTTGTTTTTGAAATTTGTGATTCATATTCTAGGAGGATTATATGAATTTGAATACCTTAGATCAACGTCTACAAGCAGTGGTCCTAAGATTACAACACCACCGGCAGAATGTTAATTCATCTCCATCAGTTGGTACTATGATACCCACTCCTGGTATATCACATAGTACCAATAAGGGCTTGATGGTTTCATCTTCCATGGATACCTCCATGACTGCTGCTAATGCAAGTATGCCTCCTACAACTGTCAACACTGGCAGCCTGTTGCCAACTGGGGGTATGAATGGTGGTTCCTTTAGTAGGTCTGAAGGTAACTGTCAGTTTCACAGTTCCTTTTATTTTCTTCCTCTTATGAATATCTATTTGAATTGCTTTTAAAAAAAGCATAATAAACTGGCACTCTTTCAGGAAATCTTTCAAATGGATACCAACAATCATCTGCCAACTTCTCGGTTGCTTCTGTTGGGATGCCATCGATGGGTGTGCAGAGAATTGGAAGCCAAATGATTCCTACTCCGGGATTTAGTGGTAGCAGCAATAATAACATTAGTAATCAGTCTTCCAATAATGGTGTTGGGCTTGCAACTGTTGAATCCACCATGGTATCTCAGCACCAACAGCAGAAGCAACATGGTGGTGGTCAAAACAGTCGTATTTTGCACACCCTTGGCAGCCAAATGGGTGGTATAAGGGCTGGCTTGCAGCAAAAATCTTTGGCATTTTCAAATGGATCCCTTAATGGTGTGCTAGGTGTGATGGGAAGTAATCTACATACTGTGAATGAACCAGTGACTTCTGTGGGTTATCAGACTGCAACAACATTTGGTAATTCACCAAAGCCATTGCCACAACACTACGATCAACATCCCCAACCTCCAATGCAGGGTAACATATCTTGTTTATTGTTCTGTTTCCATGTGTTGTCTTTTAATTAATTTTGTGTTTATTATACCACAACTGGACAGCTTGGACTCTTTAAATTTATCCCTTATGTATATAGGAATTCTAAGAAAATTATTCTTATTCTTTAGGTGATGGATTTGGATTGACCAATGCTGATTCTTTTGGGTCTGGAAACTTGTATGGCACTGTTACTTCTGCTGGATCAATGACAGATACTCAGAATTTAAATTCAGTAGGCTTGCAGTCTTTGCCTAGAACCAACTCTTTGATCAGAAATCAAACAAATATGCATGGCATGCAACCTGCTGGACATATGAAGCCTCAAACAGTTGAGCAATTTGAGAAGATGAATTTTCAACCTCCGGTATCTTCAAGAGACAGTCTCACTCAGTCACATCAACAGAATCAATTTCAGCAACCTTCCCATCAGTTTCAACAACAGCAGCAGTTTGTTCAAAATCAACAGAAGCAGCAAAGTCAACAGAGCCAGAGTTTGTTGAACAATAATGCTTATGGTCAGTCTCAGCTAGCATCTGATTCGGGCAGTCAAGTAAAGCTCGAGCCTGGTGTAGAACATCATGAAATTCTTCACCAACAAGCTCCTGAACAGTTTCAGTTGACTGAAATGCAGAACCAGTTCCATCAAAGCCATTCTGAAGAGCATTCTTTCCAGCGTGATGTATCTTTGCCACTCCCACCAAATTCTCAGCAGATGCAACAAGTGTTGCATTCAAATCAATTTGTTGCACAGCCTCATAATGATTTTAACCAACCTGTTGGAGCACAACCAGAATCAGTTGTTCAGGGTCAGTGGCATCCTCACTCACAAGACAGGACTCAAATGCCTGGGAACATGTCACATGAGCAGCATGTCCAAGAGGATTTCCATCAGCGAATATCTGGGCAAGATGATGCTCAGTGTAATAACTTCTCTTCAGATGGAACTCTTGTTGGTCAGACTGTTGTTGCCCCTAGAACCACAGCTGAGCTGCCAAATTCTAGTAGTGCTACTTTAAGATCTGGAAATGGAAGCCATGATCGCTTGCAGTTTAGAAATCAACAAAGGTGGCTTTTGTTTCTCCGTCATGCTCGTAGATGTCCAGCCTCTGAAGGGAATTGTCCAGAAGTCCATTGCTTAACTGTTCAAAAGCTATGGAGACATATGGACTCATGCAATACATCTCAATGCTCCTATCCCCGCTGTCTCCACACCAAGAGATTGATTCATCATCACAAGAATTGCAGGGATTTATCATGTCCTGTTTGTGTTCCTGTAAAAAAGTATCTACAGGAAACAGCAAGGCAAAGGCAACGCGTACTTCAGAACTCTGATTCTCTTTTGCCTGGTTTAGTAGGTGGAGCCTGTAAAACCTATGATACTGGAAATGTTAGAATGAATTCTAAAACTTCAACAGCTGTGGGAAATTCAGAAGATCTGCAGCCAACTCTGAAACGGTTGAAGATAGAGCAACCCTCCCAATTTCTTGCTCCAGGGCATGAAGGTGTTGCAGTCTCAAGTTCTCTAGTTGCTGAATCCCATGTCTCACAGGATGTTCAGCGACAAGATATCCAGAAGGGTGATATGGATATGTTGATTAAATCTGAGCCTATAGAACTGAAGGCAGAAGTTGCCGTGAGTTCTGGACAGGGAAGTCCTGGTGTTAGTGAGGTAACAGACTTTGTGAGTAATGTTTCCCAACAAAAAGCTGATGGTGAACCTATAACTTGCAGTGAAACTGCTGCTATGACTAAGGGAGAAATTGTTATGGTTGAGGAGGCAGTCCAACCCAAGCAAGAAATTGTGACACAGCCTGCTGAAAATGCAGCTGGAACTAAGTCTGGGAAGCCAAAAGTAAAAGGTGTATCACTGACTGAATTGTTCACCCCAGAGCAAGTTAGGGAACATATTAGAGGTCTCAGGCAGTGGGTTGGCCAGGTAATCCCCTTGATTGTTTTGCATTGTTATTTTCTTGAGGCTTTGATTCTTTTAAGAGTAGTTGAAAAGAATGAAGTAATAAACAAACAGGCTAGGTTAATCTGTAATGTGCTTGAAATTTGAATTAATCATTAGAGAAGACAAGGTTTGTTTACTGGGGGAGAGTTAGCGGTCTACTTGAGAGGTTTTAAGAAAGGTGCTTCATTATTTATATATTTTTAATATGAACTTTTCCCTTTATTATATACATAAAAGCATGATGCATAAAGCATGCAGCATCATGCATGCACACATGTATGCCATGGTAAGTCATGGCATTATCAATCAAGTTCAGATTCAAGAAGTAAATTGTACACAGTAGCTTTCTGGTTTGTTGTGAGGATCACTGATACTGATTTTGATTTCAGAGGATACGTCCCCAAGTTGCTTCATTTAAGTAATGGAAGTGTGTACTTGTAAAGTAATTTTTCTTTTTCTCTTTCTTTTTTCCTTCTACAGAGCAAAGCAAAGGCTGAAAAGAATCAAGCAATGGAACACTCAATGAGTGAGAACTCTTGTCAGTTGTGTGCAGTTGAAAAGCTTACTTTTGAACCACCACCTATATATTGCTCTCCTTGTGGTGCTCGCATTAAGCGAAATGCAATGTACTATACAATGGGAGCTGGTGATACTCGACATTATTTTTGTATTCCATGCTATAATGAGGCTCGTGGGGATTCTGTTGTTGTTGATGCGACTGTCATTCCAAAGGCACGGCTTGAGAAGAAGAAAAATGATGAAGAGACTGAAGAATGGGTATGTATCTTCAACACTTTGGGTGTGTTACTATGTTTCACAATTGTCTCTAACAAATTTTTTGATGATTTTATCTTCAATTATTATTTGCAGTGGGTTCAATGTGACAAGTGTGAAGCTTGGCAGCATCAAATTTGTACTTTGTTTAATGGTCGAAGGAATGATGGTGGGCAAGCTGAATATACGTGCCCTAAGTGCTATATAGATGAGGTCGAAAGAGGGGAGCGTAAGCCATTACCACAGAGTGCTGTTCTTGGGGCAAAAGATTTGCCAAGAACAATCCTTAGTGATCACATAGAACAGCGGTTATTTAGGAAACTGAAGCAGGAACGACTAGAGAGGGCAAGGACTCAAGGAAAAGGTTATGATGAGGTAATTAGTAGATCGTGCTATAATTTATGTTGTTTCAAGATGATGGTTGATTATACAAAGCTGATGGTGATTGTAGTACTATGCCTTTCTTTGTTAACAATTCAAGAATTTGATGTTTAGAATAAGATGGATGATCTCTGAGGTCAACCCAATGCTAAATGCAGAAATGCATGTTGATTCATCTAAACATCATGAACTGCCCCACAATAAAACCAGTTAAATCAAAGTGTATTTTTGTTGTTATAAAAATGAAAGTTCAAGCCTTCATTTTCAAGGTGAGTTACTGAATAATTGAAAAAGAAGGGTTAATTGGATAAATCTACATTTAGGTTTTGAAGTAACTGTCTAGCTTTGAGATGTTCTGTTTAATTCTGTTTCTCTAACCAGACGTGGGGTTCATATAACTGCCAGAATGTGTGTCCTTTTTCTGTACAATGGTATTACCTATTTTTGAATTAGTTGCCTTGGATTTATTTGATTGACCTTGTGGTCCTTTGAATCATCTTCTTAAGATGTGATCTTTATATTGAATACCTTATTGCTGTTACTTTTCATTTTGTTTCGTGTCACTTTTCATTTTGTTTCCTGTCTTTTAATTATAAAGAGCGATATGATCTTATACTTTGTGATTTCTGCTTCTGGTTATTGGCTAATCCTTACTCTTCCAGTTCTTCCTTTTTATTGAAATAAGCTAATCTCATCTTCTAATTGAAACTGCCAGGTTCCTGGAGCAGAAGCACTTGTAGTGCGAGTTGTTTCATCTGTTGATAAAAAGTTGGAAGTGAAGCAGCGATTTCTTGAAATTTTTCAGGAAGAAAATTATCCATCAGAATTCCCATATAAATCAAAGGTTGGAGGATTTATGCTTTAAGCTTGATATGTTGTTTTATGTGGAAGAAGGCGCATTTATTGTAGTTACAGATTATGTTCATCTTCACATCTTCCCTTGCAGGTTGTTTTATTGTTTCAGAAGATTGAAGGAGTAGAAGTATGCTTGTTTGGCATGTATGTCCAAGAATTTGGATCAGAATGCGCATTCCCAAATCAGCGTCGTGTTTATCTGTCATACTTAGATTCTGTGAAGTATTTCCGGCCAGAGGTTAAAGCAGTTACTGGAGAGGCTCTTCGCACATTTGTTTATCATGAAATTCTTGTAAATTCTATATTCTTAGTGAAATCCCTTACTACAAAGTAGTTCATTAAGAGTTTCATTTTTTGATATCAGTGATTCTGTTGAAATCTTTTCATACTTATTATTTTCTTTATTTCATTCCTGTTGCAGATTGGATACCTTGAATATTGTAAGAAACGGGGTTTTACAAGCTGTTATATCTGGGCATGCCCTCCACTAAAGGGGGAAGATTATATTTTATATTGCCATCCAGAAATCCAGAAAACACCTAAATCTGACAAACTTCGAGAATGGTGAGGCAAATAATCTATAAGAATCCCTTTGAAATGCAGTTATAAGGATATGTAAGTTGCATTAGAATCTAACTCTTTGTGTCACTTGCGTGAAACATTTCTGTTTTAGGTACTTATCGATGTTAAGAAAAGCTACCAAGGAAAATATCGTTGTTGACCTCACTAATTTGTATGATCACTTCTTTGTATCTACTGGTGAATGTAAGGCTAAGGTAACGGCAGCTAGACTGCCGTATTTTGATGGTGATTACTGGCCTGGTGCTGCTGAGGATCTAATTAATCAACTACGTCAAGAAGAAGATGGCAGAAAGCAGAATAAGAAAGGAACAACCAAAAAGACCATCACAAAAAGAGCTCTAAAAGCATCTGGTCAGTCTGATCTCTCTGGTAACGCTTCGAAGGATCTGCTTCTGATGCATAAAGTAATTTCTTTCTTCCATTTCTTTCTACTTCCAATTTTTCTGTGAACATTTTTTGATCTTAGTCCTATTTTATGTGGTATGAAGTACAATTCTTGCTATTTTATTGATTTCCTTATGTCATAAAATCAACAATTCTAGCTGATTACAGTTACTTATTTTTTGCTAATGTCCACAATTTTTTTCTTCAATTCGGAATTAGTAATTTTCTATTTGTGTTGTTTTTCTTTTCTTTTTCCATTTTTAATTCTCTGTTCCAGCTTGGTGAGACCATTTCCCCAATGAAGGAAGACTTTATCATGGTTCATTTGCAGCATTGCTGCACTCATTGTTGTATCCTCATGGTGTCTGGCATCCGTTGGGTTTGCAACCAGTGCAAAAATTTTCAGCTATGTGACAAGTAAGAATCTTGCTTTCTTTAGATGCATTTTCTCATGCACGGGTTATAATTTTTGACATATTTAAGTGAATGCAGGCATTTTTTTTTGGCATGAGTAGCTATGGTTTGGTCATAAGCTGTAACTTTTTCATGATATTACGGATCTTCTTCATGTGAAAGGCCTAAATATGTATTCCTTAATGAGTTTGCTGAAAATTCTAACTGGAGTTGATCTTGGAAAAAGGTGTATTGTGTGGGATATTCCTGTTTTGGTGGCTCAGAGTTGACATACTGGAATGATGTCAAAATGGCAGCATTTCCATGCCATAAATGAGAATTGTGTAGTAGTTGATGTATGCTTGGGTTCAAATCCTTTTTTCCTACTTTTGGATGTTATAAATTGAGCATTCCTTTTGTGAAATGACCTGGCTATTACTAGATTTTTTGTTTTTGTTTTGTGTGTGTGCGTGTTGTTTGGTTAAAACTTCTTCTTTTTTTTTTTTTTTTTTTTTTTTCATTACTGAGAGTAAATGAGATCTTGTTTCATCATTCTTGATTATGCAAATCTTGTCCTTTGTATTTACATATTCTTCTAAGCCATCTGCTAAGTAACAGATTTTTCCAAGCAAGCAGGATTTAATGTTTGTGTGATATGTTTATTTATAGGTGTTATGAAGCAGAACAGAAACGTGAAGAGAAAGATAGACATCCCATGAATCAAAGGGAGAAACATGTATTACATCCTGTAAGTTTTCTCTATATTGTATAATTCGTATGAAGTAAACGTTTGTTACTTCCCGTTTACTGTTTTCATTCCCACTTTGCGAATGCTGTCTTGGTTTTTCTTGCTTTTCCCTGAGCAATGAGTTTTTGACCCTGCAGTTTGAAATCACCGATGTACCAGCTGATACAAAGGATAAAGATGAAATTCTTGAGTCTGAATTCTTTGATACCAGACAGGCATTTTTGAGTCTTTGTCAGGGCAATCATTACCAGTATGATACCCTCAGGCGGGCTAAACATTCATCTATGATGGTCCTATACCACCTTCACAATCCAACTGCTCCTGCATTTGTGACCACCTGTAATATATGTTATCTTGACATTGAAACTGGTCAAGGTTGGCGTTGTGAGGTTTGCCCTGATTATGATGTGTGCAATGGATGCTACCAAAAGGATGGGGGTATTGATCATCCTCATAAATTAACCAATCATCCATCCACGGCTGACCGTGATGCACAGAATAAAGAAGCTAGGCAGCAACGTGTTTTACAGGTACTTTTAATTTTGTTTTTTCTGTAAATTTTTTTTTTCAGCTGCCATTGTCCTAATTATATTTTTGTTTCTAGATTGTACAATCACCTTTGTTTTGGCTAATGTACCTCATCTCATTAGCAAGTGCTTTAATAGTCACGAATGGAAAGATAGATCTCTTATTTCTGCCATCTTCTGTGGCTTATTCCTGTTTCCTGTATATTGGTTCTTCCTAGCTGCTGCTATGAATTTTGTCCTTTATTTTTACTCTTTTAAGTTTCTGCTTGAGTTTGGGTCCAATCCAGTGCCTAGATGGGAAAGAAGTTGCCAGGAGAGTAAAGAAAATGGGATTGAGTATAAAAGATGTTCTACCAGTCAAGCTTTGAACATTTCTGAGATGCTAAGTGTCTCTGACCTTAATGTGAAACAGTTACACGAGGGTGTTGAGACTGTGTTGAAGGAGGATTTATATTCTAAGTTCAATTGTTGCCTTATTATTCAACCAGCTCATAATTGGAAATGAGTTGATTAGCCTAAGTTATGCCTGGCTGTTTGCATAAGGTTAACATGATTGGTTTCTGTAAATTGCAGCTTAGGAAAATGCTTGACCTTCTTGTGCATGCATCACAATGCCGTTCTCCACATTGCCAATATCCAAATTGTAGGAAGGTGAAGGGCCTTTTCCGGCATGGAATTCAATGCAAAACACGCGCCTCTGGGGGTTGTGTTCTTTGTAAGAGAATGTGGTACATATTGCAACTTCATGCACGAGCATGCAAAGAATCTGAATGCCATGTGCCACGATGCAGGTACTTGCACTGGCTTTACACCATTTGGAACTGTTCTCTTTCCCAGTGTATTAGGATTATATTTTAAATTATTTATGCATGCATGTTTATTGAATGATGCAGAGATCTTAAAGAACATTTGAGGAGGCTCCAGCAGCAGTCTGATTCAAGGCGTAGGGCTGCTGTGATGGAGATGATGAGACAGAGGGCTGCAGAGGTTGCTGGAAACTCTGGATAAGCAAATTGTACATATGAATTGGATGATTTGGCTAGGAAGCTCCCTCAAGGTAGGGAGGTAGAGAATAGCTTTTTGCTCTGCCCTGGTTCACTGCTTGGAACAGGGTAGTGATGGGGAGAAGTGGCACATATAGATGGTCAGAGGTGATAAGCATGCATTAGTACAAAGACACAACTTTAGGGAGCAATTCTTTGATTTATAACCGCACTACTGAATTCTCTAGAATGAAAGGGAGTGAAGTTATAGAAGGAGAATTGCCTTGTCGAGAAGCCAGCCACTAATTACGCCCCCACCAAAAGTCAGAATACTAATGTGTGTGAGTCGGTGGCCTGATTTGGTGATTCATTGATTTCATCCTCTTTTTTTTTTTTTTTTCTGTTTTTTTTTTTTTTTTTTTTTTTTTTTGCCTGCTAAATAAGAATATAAGCATAAATTATTGGAGTGATTTTTTTTTATTTTTTTTATTTTGGATATTTGATTTTTATTAAAATATAAAATTAAACAGACGATGATGATTGGTAAAGAGGGCTGAGGTAGAGGGAGGGAACGGCAAGATGATGGTAAACGGCGTCGTTCTGTCCTTGTATGGTACTGTACACCCACCGTATATTCACCATGTGCATTGACTTGTTTACCCCTAAATTTATCCCCATTCATTGCCTTTTCTTTTTTATTTTTCTCAATTAGATAAAACAATTATTTTATATAACTTCCATATATTATTAATTGAGTAAATATATTTAATATCATAAATTTCAAATAAATAAAAAAATAATTATTTAAATGACATATAAAATTATATAAAAAAATTATTCTAAATTTTTTTTTTTTTTTTTTTTTAAGTTAACTTAGTTTCTACTTTAAAGTGTTCAAAATTAGTTCTTCGCTTTTTCAAAAGATTTTTTTTTTGTTTTACTTAAATTTTACTATATATTTAGATTGAGAAAAATGAAAAGAATGGGAGGAGGGAGTAATAGAGAGTTGTTGTATTATTATTATTATTATTGTTTTTTTTGTTTGGACCATTTGGTATACGAAAATTCACTGGTTATTGACTAATTCAGATTCGAGTCAAGTAGGATTCAATGGGTGACGATGCTCTCCCTCATGAATTTTAACGGAGTTGCATTCTTATGCCTTGAAATCAAGATTTTTTATTAAATTGAAAGAGTTTTTTACCAACTTATTCACCGACTCATAGGTAAAGTTGTTGTATTATTCTATTCTTTTCTCTTTATTTAGATTAATAAATAAATTTTAAAAAATAAAGTAAAACACTTTTTTTCCCTCCCCTCCTCCCTAATTTTTTTATAACCAAAGAGAGGAAATTTTTTCCTTTCTCTTTTCTTCATTCATCTCAGCAACCTAAACATAAAATAATTATAAAATCTATTTTAATAAAGTTAGGTAAAGATAAAGCTAAATATAAAATTTTATTATTTAATTATTACAAGATCCCAATTTTGTTGGAGAAAACTAATGTTGAACGGACATCGTAAAAATATTATAATAGCAAAAATATAAGTGCAATGCTTATAATCATGTGTGTTTAAATGATTTATTCTTTTTATTTTAATAATTATTTATAATATTATATGTCTTTATTTATTAATTTAAATACATTTCATAATTGTAAATTTATGATTTTACCTACCTTTGTACCTACATTAGTACTTAAAGGGAGATATGTTTTGTACAATAACACTTAATTATTCTAAATGAGTGATAATATGCAAATAATCTATTTATATAATTTTTTTATAATTTTCATATATTATTAAATGATTAAATGCATATAAATCTAATAAAATGAAAAAAAAAAATATGATATGTAAAAGTTATATGAAAAAATTAAATATAAAAATTATTCCTAAATCATATTCATTTCTACAAATAGCACAATATAAGCAAAAAAGGACTCCTGGCACTATATAACATTTCAAACACAGCCTTAGTCTCTTAATTTTGTTTTTTTTTTTTTATTATTATACGGTAAAACATATAAAGCATGTCCCTGAGTCTGTAATAACTAACGCATTAACACTGGTCTGCAATAAGGCCTACTTTGCTATTGTTTGCTTATTAATCAAAAGCTGGATACCATATCAGATATATAACCATTGTACATAAGAATTTTCTTTCTCAGCTTCCGCCTTGGCTTTTTTGGCAGACTCCTGCTCCTTGATCAGCTCCTCCTGCTTGCGTTTCAACCGTCCATTCTCACCAGTAAGGTTCATATTCTCCACTTTCAAACGCTGGCATTCCTTCTTTAAGTCATCAATCTCTTTGTGGCAACTATAATACTCATTCCAGTAGGATTGCCAAGCTAAGGACTCAGAACTAACATTGAAGGCCTGCAAACCACATATAAAGCGTCATGGGGAACAGAAACTCGATGGATCAAAATAATTCATCACAGAAGAAAGGCAAAAGAAAGATGCAAGAGGTAAAGTATATACTACTTACTTGTGGTTGTGGTAACATCAGACCTTGATTGGCAGTATCATGTGTGGGCATAAATGGGGCAACATATGGTGATGGATAAGTGAGTTGTGGACAGAATTGTTTAATGAGCATAGGTTTGCTGCGTATCAGAATCTGTATACGGGATTGTAAAGTACCCAAATTCATGTAATCCTCCTATAATAAGAGAGACAAATTTTGATAGCATTCAGAAGATATATGCACGATTAAAAATAGCGAGAAGCTAGGAAGGAAAACAACCTCGGTTTGAGCACTCCTGAATAATTCCTCTTCCAAGCATATTGCAATTTGTTGACACTTGATCAATGATGCATTGCTAATTGGCTGCTGATGCCACTTCTTTAGAAACTCAAAGCTGTAAAAAAAAGTAAGATGGAAAGATCGCATTTGTGTCCAAAGAACAATTTTAGGCATGCAATAGTGATAATGCAAACAGAATTCCTACATCTTTCCTTTCATAAACTCTCGTGCTTTGAGAAACTGCTCAGGGCTCATGTTGATGTAATCAAGTGGATGACTGCCAATTCCACCACCAATGCCCCTAAAACGTAAGTTCAGCATAGTTGCAGTCTGGAGTGGATTCCAGTTTTGCAAGGCAGGTCCTCCTTGAATAGGTACCTGTCCTGGTAGCTGCCCTGACATATATCCCTGCAAGTTGGTCTTCAACCTCGTTTCTCTTGCTTCTTGCTTCTTTTCAAAATAATCCCTTAAATTGAAGTTGTTGTATTGATCTCCAATAATGCCACCAATGCCACCTATACCTAAATTCTCCATAGGTGCAAACTGGGCTGGATTCACATTTTGCTGGGAGAGTCCCCCCAGAGTAGCTACTTGTCCTGATATGGGCCTTGACATATGTGCCTGAACGTTCATCTTTGCTTTACCCTTTGTTTCTTGAGCACCAGCAAGATACTTCCTCCAATCAGACTTGTTGTCTGGGGGACTTCCAGAACCGTCACCAACACTTGAGTTCATGGGTGCAACCTGCGGTGAATATGCACCCAATTATATCCATAAATGCACTGACATAACTATATATGACACATGCAAAGACGTATGTATGCACAATTAATTATATGGCATGCACCGTCATATGTAGAATTATATTTGTTTCTTTTTCTTGCATCTAGTATGCCTTCAAAACCATGACATTCTGTCTATTGTCCAGTATTCAGGAAAGGAATATATATTAACCAAGAGTAACTAAGGAGAATTTAAAATTAAAA